GCTGGTAGGAGACGCTTCCACATCCAGCTCCTGTGACAGTCTTACAGCATTCCCTGTCACACACAGCACCGGGTGGAGCTGGGATTGACAGGAAAAGAGTGTCCAACAGGAGGAACAAGTCCTATTCTGGGAGCGACCAGGAATAGCCACATGCCATCAGATGTAGCTGGCTGCAAAACAGACAATTTCTCCCTTCTAACTCACCTTCCAGTCCTTTTTCTGGATACAAGTTTCTTTTAAAAGCACCTTGTACTCAATACTTAGATTTAGTTTGTAGTCAAGTTTAGATTTAGTTTGTACTCAAATATTCAGGTTTAAACTTAGTTTGTCTTTTTAAGGCACCATGTCTGAGTACCTCAACTACAGAACACCTTCCCAGGCCAATTTTCAGCAATCCTGACCTCAAATCAGCCCTCGGGCTGGCACAGAGCTGGGCAGGAATTGACATCTGGCTCTCTTTTCCAGCCACAACTTCCATTAGTCCTCCCGTTCCTGTTGTTCTCGTGTCATGCTCTTGCAACAGGAGGCGGTTGTGATTCAGTCCGTTTGTTTGGTTTGTTTTTCTTCTTTTTCAATCTGCACAGAGCAAAATATATTTTTCAACCAACATTTTCTGCTCCCAGCATCACTCACCCTGTGAAAACAAGCCGTCTGCAGAAAATAGCGTTGCTGGGAAAGCAAGAAGCTTTCTCCTGGAAATGGTGAGAGCTTCATGTGAAACTGTCCTACAAAGATGTTTCACACTCGTGGGACCACAAGGAAATGGTGATGCTGTCACTGAGGAGGAAAAGCTGGTGCTAGCAGCAAAAATCCTCTGGTTTGCCACATCAGTATGAGTTCTGCCCTATCTCATAGAATCCCAAAATGGCTTGGGTTGAAAGGACCTTAAATATCATCTCATTCCACCTGCCCTGCCACGAGCAGGGTCACCTTCCACTAGAGCAGGCTGCTCCAATCCCCATCCAACCTGGCCTGGAACACTTCCAGGGATACAGCAGCCACAGCTTCTCTGGGTAACCTGTGCCAGTGTCTCACCACCCTCACAGGGAAGAATCTTTTCCCTAATATCCAATCTAAACCTACACTCCAGCAGTGGGAAGCTATTCCCCCCTGTCCCATCACTCTAGGCCCTTGTCCAAAGTCTAGCTGAACACAGCACCACCACATTGGTGGGCAGGGAGAGCTCCTAGAAGAGCTCCTGCAGCACTCAGAGTCCTGCTGACAGTTTTCCCAAGGCAAGGAGGCAGCCAAGCTTAGCAAAGCCCAGAAGTCATTACAGGCAGCACAGGCAAATTCCCGGAACTGCCACTCCAATGGCCTGCTGTGTCCCAGGGCAGGCTGGAAGCAGTCCACATGGTTGAGGCAGCCAAGGGTCAAGTGTATAGCCTTTCTTTCTTTTCCCAAAGGGACCTGCTTATCTCCTCAGAACCCGTTCCCTTCAACTTGCAGTCTCACCTGTTAATAAGATGGGAATAATTTAACAGCCAGACCCCCTCCTACCCCAAGGTGTCAATGAAACCACCAGAGAGGGACTGAGTTTGTGTTGGATCTACGCACGTGCGGGGAAACAGGGATAGAGCCCTCAGCATGGCAGCAGCTAAAAATGACTCTGTGCTGCAAAGGCCCCAGGCTACAGCAGCCTGAGCCAGCCCTCGGGCTCCTTGCCATCCTCAGTGTTCTCCCGATGCTCGGTGACTTTCCGGTCATGAGACAGCCAGCCTGGGATGTCACCCTCCCGCTCCACAGGGAGAGGCTGTATCCATCACCCGGCCAGCTCTGTCCAGCCCCGCCACACAGCGGGTTCCGTCGCTGCAGATGGATCAGCAGAGCAAACACGCTATCCGTGCTGACAAGCAAAAGCTCCGTGTGGGATGGGAAGGCACCTTTTGCAAAGCAAAGCCCAGCTGGTCAGCATTTAGCTGGAAAAATCCACGCAGGCAGGGGGAGGATGGAAATAAGAGGGATGATAAGAACATAGCGTGCAAGGTTGGAGCACTTGTTTCTGCACCAGCCCAGGCAGCTGAGGCTGAACTCACTCCCACACTGCAAGTCCCAGCAGATAAGGAACTCGGCATTTAGAATCTTCCTCCATTAGGACACAGGGAATGGCAACAGCCAGAAGATACCACGGCCCATCTGTGTGCTGGGCCAGCTGCAAATGGGAACAGAGGTAAAAGCCTTGCCAGTAAAAAGGTTCTTAAGCACTTGAGCTATGACCAGTGGTCTGCAGCTGACCTTTGCTTCAGGCATCTTCCCCCTAAGAGGAAGGAATCTTGCAGAGTCAGATATGCTGTGCAATAACTGCTTGCCCAGATGGACCCAGAGCTGGCCACCTGCACTGGCTGCTGGGAAGGCTCCAGGGGTCCCTCAGCCTGCTTTCCATGGAATCAGGCTGATCTTTGGGGAAAGCGTGCCCCTTCCTCACCTCCCACCACGCTGTGCTGCGGCATCAGGGACACAAAATAAGGCAGAACTGGGGCTGAAGCCTCAGAGTGGCTTTATAAGCCATGGAAAGGCAAAGCTGCAGAACACCATGCTCCAGCCACCCACCACCCTGGCCTGATGCCACCAGTCCAAGTCCCCAGGACTGTGGAATTATTTAAATACAAGAGCTCCAAGCACCAAGACAGGCTGACTCTGCTTCTTTGTCTCCAGGTCTGAGCTCAAGATTGTGCCACCTAAGCCTGGTTACATTTTTTCCCAGATTACTTCTTGCTGGGAACCCGGACAATACAGGACTGGGGGGCAAAACAGCAGAGTGGTTCAGAGGTACCTGCAGTGCAGGCAGGGCTCTCCCTGGGCCTGGCTGGTAAAGGTATGGTGCTGGTGAAGGAAGCAAGGCTGAGGGATAGAAAGACATCAGCAGCTTTGTCCAGTACCAATTTCCTCCTCTCCCCCTGCACAGCAGCCAGGGAGGAATCCCACACATGTGCTCTTCCCTCCCAGAGAGAGCCTGGTTCTGGTCAGTCCCAGAAATCACTGCCTTCACCTGCAGGGCTGTAGTGTGAGGAGGTGCCTTTGCTGAGGCTGCTGTACCTGATGCCTGTGCTGGGCTGTGGCGTGTAAGAAATTTAATTAGGTGAAGAGCTGCCAGCTCCTGCAGAGCCCAGGGCTGAGGCCAGCGCTGCACCACTGCAAATGCCGCACAACCATGCAAAGGTCCTGGAATACTGTGCTTCATCCAGCTCTCACCTCCAGGAATAGGGTGGTCAAGCTGAAAAATCAAGCCCTGCAACACCATCACACCCACAGTGAGGGACAAGCCTCTGTATGTGGCTGCAAAGAGCAGCAGCATGCTGTGCTGAGCTGCAGGTTTTTCTGAACATGCTGAGTTTTCACTGTGTCTCGAGCATTGGAGAAGTTCAAGAGGGCTCCTCCTGTCACCGACAGCATCCCCTTTGCCCCTGTCCCATTTCTTCACCCTACTCCAGATCCTCCTCCTCTTCTCCACCCTCCTCCTCCTCACCCACAGACCTACTTCTGAAGGGTAGAGGTTACTCCAAGGAAAATGCAATCTGTTAACTAGGACACAGGACTGAACGTGCCACCCTCCGATACCTCCCAGGCTGAAATCCCTCTTGGCCTGTGGCCCTGCTAAGCTCTCCAAAAAAATTAGAGAAACAGATAAGCACAGAAGACAGATAAGCTGACCTGATCCCCTTGCAGGGAAGTGCCGTAAGAGTAGCTGGTTTCAGTGCTTCCCAGTGACAGATTATGTTCAGAGCCACCCTGACACAGGTGCAGTGACAAATGACCACACTGTGTGCAGACAGGTGGGAATCAGCCACTTGATCCCTCTCTTCCCCCTCAGCACAGTTTCACTCCAGGACAGGCATTGCCAGCCCCACCAAACCCTGACAATTTAACTTTAACCCTTCTGCCCTAAGCAGGGCAGGGGAAATGTCGATGGGGCAACGTGTGACCCCATCCTCTGTTTGGTGTCCAACTCCATGCCTTCTGCCCCCTACCACTTCCACCCCTTTTTCACTTCATTTGCCAGCAGCCACCACAAATGACGCCATACTCAGAGCAACCTTTCCCTGCCCTCTGTGCCGGTGTCTCTCCCCTTTGTGCACCGAGGTGACAGGCAGAGGCCACCTCTGAGCCACGCACGCACCCCACCACCCTTCCCTCTGCTCCCAGCCCTTCATCCCAGCTCTTTCATCCCGAGGAAGGGCATATTAAATACCAGCAGAAGAATAACAGATGGCGCAGAACAAACCCGGGGAAATTGGTGTTCTCTGAAGTTGCCGGGGAATGGGGAGCACAGAGGAACTGTTGTACCGCAGAGCAGCGCGAGAGCCGCAGCCCGGCTAAACCCGCCGGCTCAGCCAAACCCCGGGGACAAGACGGGGTCTTTGTTCAAGCCTCCCTGGAGGGGATTCATCAAAAAGCTTGGAAAACACATGATAGAACCAGCTTCCACACACCAAGCTCGGGCTGTACTCTAAGCTTGCTGCCTGAAAACATTTCTTTGTTCGCTTTCTGCTAAGATCAGATCTGACCAAAGTCCTTACGTGCCGTTTACATATTTTCCCACAGACCAGGGACGTTTTGCAAATATTTACTCACAAAACTCATTTGCAGCAAACAGGGTAAGTAAATCAGTCCATTAACTATGCAAATACACGTCTCGATTTCCAGAGAACTGCAAGTTGGGGGAAATGGTTACTGTGTCTGTTTCAGAGCTTTTTGACAGCCCTTAATATACCCAGCTCGTAAAAAAATGCTTTTAAGAATATAAAAAAGGAAAGAATAGTCTAAAAATGCAATTAAAAGCAACCAAGCAAGTCAGAAACCCCTGCCTGAGACCACAGGCATTTTAAGTGATTTTACAGAAAGCCGAAAGTCTCCCTGAGGAAACAAAAGAAATAAAAATAGACCAACTCTGCTCAAAAGACAAGACCCAGGTATGAAACACACGGTGCAGGGAGTAGCTGAGAGCTGCAGGGACTGCTGCTGCATCCCAAGGTTGCAGCTGAGTGCAGCCCGGGACTTACCTTGCGGCGCTGTGATGATCCTGGGGTTCACCTTGGAGCGCCCCGCTGCCCACATGCCCAGCTGGCCGGCCCACAGGGCCACCAAGAGGGCAACAGGCGAGCTCCTGCCCATTTCTACTTACTCGGGAGCAGGGATCGTGAGCCTGTGAGCCTGACAGCTGCATCGCCTGCCTTATACAAAAGCCTGGTAGCATCCAGCCCAGCCAATGGCTGAGACGAGGGCGGGACTTGCCTAGGAACACTAAATTAAAAAAAGCCCAGTAACTCTACTCATTTAGCACCTTTCGGCACTTTGTCTCTGCAGGTTTTACCAGGGTTTTTTTAGGTCCTTTTCGGGTTTTTTTCCCCTCGTTTTGTAAGGGGAAGGTGGAGGTCTGATGGCTTTGTTCACCCTCAGGCGCCGGAGGAAAGCTGCAGCTGGCTCAGGGTTTGCAAACAACTTCCCACAGAGGCTTGGAAGGGGAATATTAAGGTTGAGACGAATGAAATAAGAATGAAAGTATGTCTAAAAATGGCAGACCAAGGGTGCAGAGACCGATAACAAAGGATGGCTGCTCCAGGGTTGTTTAAATAGAAGGACATGCCCATGACAGAGAGCCATGCTCGGATACGGAGGCAGACATGGAACAGGAGCCTATGCCTGCCATCAGGAAGATGAAGCAAGGCTGCAGCATATCTCGTGTGCCAGCCCTCTTCCTGCTGGTGCTCCACTGCAATAATAGCAAAGGACCACTCCTAGTAAAATAAAACACCACCCGAAAATCCACTCAGCTTCACAAGCTGACTACGCTGTCACACACTCCCTTGCCTGACCAGTCAAACTCACATGTGCCAGTGAGGGAGCGAATGACATCCCAGAGTGGATGTGGACAATCCACTTGGAGCTGGGATGAAGATGATCCTGAAGGTGATCTCTTCCCTAAGATCCTGCCCTTACTTTTGTGATGCAAATGTTCTCCGAGAGGATGGGATGCTGAGCGCACCCCACGTGGCACAACCTTTAGAAAGTCACTTTGCTTTTCCAAACCTCCCCACGGGGAGCCCGGGAAGGGCTGACAGTCTTTGTGCAGCACTGTGAGGTTTGTTAATGAGAAGACAGGGCATTCCATGCACGGAAAGCGAGGTCGGACGTGACCAGAATAGGAGAGCCCCACGGGGAACTCGCAAGGATGAGATGCAGCTGCGCTCTTTAAAGTTGAGATTGAAGCTCAGACCCAGCACTGCTCTGCTCTTGAAGGAGATGAAGAGTGGCAGGGCAAGGGGGAGGCATTTTGGAGGAAGCAAAAAAAAAATTAATGAGCCAGCTAATGGTGAATTTTAAGGACCCACAGGAATTTCCCACCAACTCTACGTGTGGGGAGGGTCATCTTTCTCTTTAATCACGTGTGTGCTTGGGTAATTACAGGGTGATAACACAGATCATTCCAGCTTTTCACTTCTGATCATGGTGATTCCCAGCCTTGAACCACTTTGTGCTCCTGCTCATCTTGAAACTGCCCATTCCCTCAGAGGCAGCTGTATTTCACTATTGCCCCATTGCTCCCCAAGGTGCCAGACCATGTTATCACTTGTTTTCTTGCAGAGAAGAAAGGTATTTTCTTCCTGAAAAACACTTTCTTCATGAAGACTCTTTCACACAATCAAAAGTAAAAAAGGACTGTCAGTTGTAAATCATCAGCCTAAGCCATACAACCCATGCAGGCTCCTTAATAAATGTGGGGACTAGAATTGCATCCACCCCAAATCTAGGCTGGGCTATGAGAGCTGCATATGTGATTATCTGTACTGCCTCTGATGACACGACGCAGCTGGTGGGCTGGAAAACTGGCTTTCAACTCCCACTCTTGACAAAGTTACCAACTGGAAACAGAAGGGTTCTGATCAGAGAGGAACAAGGAGAGTTGCTGCCTCATTATAACAGTAAATCATTTGTTTTTCCCTTTTCCTTGCCCCTAACTAACACAGCTGGGGACTCCGCGTGGTTTTAGCTTTTAGGTTGGGTATTTTTGTTCCACCTACAGCTAAATACATGTTCCTGTGGATAAAATTTAGCCTGAAACTCCCTCAGCACTTCAGAAGTGTTCATAGAATCACGGAATGGTTTGGGTTGGAAGGGATCTTAAAGCCCATCTTGCTCCACCCACTGCCGTGGGCACACCTTCCACTATCCCAGGTTGTCCAAGCCCCTCCAACCTGGCCTTGGACACTTCCAGGGAGGGGGCAGCCACGGCTTCTCTGGGTAACCTGTGCCAGGGCCTCCCCACTCTCACAGGGAAGAATTTTTTCCCTAATACCCCATCTAACCTACTACCTCAGTTTGAAGCCATTCCTGCCATTCCATTCCACTCTGGGGTCCTTCTACTTCAACAAATGGTACCACTCCATCTCTTAGACTAGGAGTTGAGAAACCCCAGGAACATGACTATTAGGGTCCTGGATTCAGAGTGATGCTGAAGCACCTTCTGCTAAGCTGGAGACTCAGCAGACAGCTTGGTGTGCATCAACTAAAGCCGTGTGAGATCTCTGCATGCAGCTCACCAGCAAAAGAACCTGCAGAGGAGGAGAAAAAAAGGGATAGTGGTGGAACATGTGAGTATATAGGAGCATCCCACCCAAAATGCTGGTTATAACTCTTCAAATGAAGAGTCTTTATTAAAGCGGAGCTTGCACCCAAATGTCTTTGCTCTCTCCAGAAGCTGCAGCTCCCCTTAGTGTCCTTTCTCTTCCCCACGAGCTCCTTCAGGGCAGCAACGTGACTGAGCAGTCATGGTGAACCTGACTCCCAGAAACACTGCACAGGACAACATTGACAAAGTCACTCCAACACGTGGGCACGATCTGGAAAGCACACTAGGAAAATACCCCCTGGGGAGGGTTGTCCCACAAACCTCTGAACAGCAAAGCTTTGACAGAGGAGCAGCCCAGTTCGGGAGAAGCAGAGCTGGTTTCGGGGTTGCTCCAACCCTGTCCCAGTTTGCAGGAGGTGCTGAACACAACACAGAGACCTGAACACATCCAGAAATGAAATACGTATTTCCCAAAGCAGGCAAGGACTTCAGTGAGACAGTTTGTTTGCTCAGGACCACATGCCATGTCCTATCCCCCAAGGAATGCATACACAGGCGATCAGATTCCAGGCACGAGCTCCCCGCTCAGCCCCCTCCTGGAGAGGTTTCCGTCTGCTCCACTCAAGAATCAAAACTTCCACGATGCAACTTATGAGCAGCTTTTTTCCAGATCATGCTCCTCACTTCCAGCATGGATCAGAAGGCAGCCTCCCCCAGGAATCTTGTCAGATTTAGGAAGCACAGATTTTCCCTAAGAAGAACAGTTTTATTCATCACTGCAGAGGAGACAGATTGCCTGAATGTTTGTGGCCCAGGCAGCCCAACTACCATGAAACCTCCTGTTTCTCTTGGCATTAGAACAGGTATGTGATGACACTATCCACAAAAACATATCCGTTACCTTCTGTTAACCTCAGATCAGGAATATGACCCTTGGAAGCATGAACACATACAAATCTTCCACAGAAAAAGACATCAACAAGACAAACATTCCTATCCCTGCAAAAGCCAGTCAGATCTTTTCTCTGTTGTGCCATCAGAAACCTGCTCCACCTGGGCAGTTGTGACAGTGCCATTATCAGCCAACACAGTACAAACAGAGACCTTATTGAACCTGGCACAAAAGGCTGAGGATGCTCAGCACATCCATCATGCATGTTTTCCACAATCCCTTCCCATACAAGACTGGGAGACTGCCTGTTTTGGAACAGAGGTGGAAAATCCTCTGTTAAATGTGTGCAGGAAGCTGCTGTGGGATGGATCAATGGCCCAAGAGACTGAGACAAAAGTGTAAATGACCAGAGCTTTGGAATATCAGAGTTTCTATTTCTTACCTCTTGCGTCTTGCCTTTGGGAACAAGCAGATTTAAACGGATGGATTCTGAAATGAAACAAGTGAAATTCCACTCACTCACAGTTTCTTTTAGTGCTGACAGGCCTTTCATTCCTCAGATGACAAAGTAAGGTGGGAAGGAAGCAAAGTGGATCATTTATCAGCAAGCTGCTGCATTTTCTGCTTTCAACACAAATTCTCCCCCTGAGCTCACATTCCTTGCAGATAACTATGGAACCTTAACAATCCCTTCCCAAAGCCACAGCCCTGCAGTGGCTGCCAACCTTCCAGCCTCTCCAGACACACAGTTTTCATCCAAGCTCATCTCCATCAGCTCTTTAAGCTGGGCTGAGTCTGGAGGGTGGGATCTGGGGGGAAGATACACCTTCCCCCCCCCCTCAGTTCTGCCACAATGCCAAAGGACAGCACAGCAAATCTACTGCCCCAACAAGTGTCACAAAAGGGATCAAAAGTCCCCATGTGCTAAATGCCACCCCCGGGGCTTTAAGAATGAGTCAGGAAAGGGCTGGAGGAACCACATGCCCCCAGGAGAAGTTTTTCTAGTAGACTTGCCAGTAAGGAAACTTGTGGCAAGGTTGATTTGCACTCAAGACTTGGAGAGCAGCACAAAACCCCTACCTGGGACTCCCCTTCTTCAGTGCTTCCCCCTCTGCCCTGAGGAAACCCCAGGGGCTCACCCAGGCAGGACCGCCCAGATCAGAGTCTCACAACATAATTCACTGATCACAGGCCCCGCCTGAGGACTGGCCACAAACTCAGCTTCGATGGCCCCAACCGTGTCTCATCCTTTCAGTTGACAAATGAGTTTCACCTGAATGTTTGTCACAATAACCAGCAGCACCGAGAGTGGTGATTCAGTGACGACTCACTGACGGGGCAGGAAAGGAGACAGGGGTGCCAAAGGCTTCAGCCACAGTAAATAAAGCCCCATGCAGAGTCTCACCCAATTAAAATAAAGTTCATACAAAAAAAAGAACAGAAGTTGCTTTGTCTAGCCACATTCCCGCCATGGGAGTTGCACAGTGCCAGCTCCATCTCCCTGCAAGGGCCCAGCAGGTCAGACTGTGTTTTGTTTACCTGGAATTCTTGGTCCTTCTTTTCTTGACTGCTGTGTTCCTCTGCCTCCTGGCAGGGCCTGGATTTCAGGGCAGCATTGCCTGTGGGAATGGCTGTGTCTCAGACTCCTCGACAACTTGATTCCCATATCTGCCAGCAGCTCTAGAAGGCTCTAAGAAGGGGTCCAGCACCCACCATCCCA